GCAGCCACCACCGTCGCTGGCGGATCCGATCCGATCCGTGCCAGGCAGCTGTCCCGCACCGTCACGGGAAGGAAAACAACAAAAAAAAACAAATTAAAAAAAAAAAAAAAGCAGCAACAATCTGGAGACGCTACCGATTTTTCATGCATTAGTCATTGACTTCACCTTTGAAGTGCCGAGAAGACCCTCGCTGTTCCCCAGCTCCCTCTCTGCCGCGCTGCAGGACGCCGACAAGCACGGTCTTGACTTGTAGCTACTCGAATTAGTCAGAGCAAGTGAGCCAGAGGAGTGATTTACCGGCTTTTACAGCAAACGCTGCCCCAACGCTTTTCAAAGGAAAGCTTTCTCAAAGCAGTAACAGCATGGCTTCATCCCTACCCCTTGATTTTGGATGCCCGAGGCGCTGGGGCGAAGCAGTCTGCGGAGACCGGGCAGCGGCAGGACGAGGGACAGGGCGAGAGCACGAGGTGCTGTTCTCGGGTCAGCAATCGAGCCCTTAACCCGGGGACAGCGATCCGTGACTTGGATCCGGCTGGATCGAGACATCCCCGGGGTTTTTACAGCCCGACCCAGCACAGGGCACTTCTCTTGGATGCGGACAAACTGGTACCGCCACTGCGACTTACTGGTTTAGATTATTCTCTGGTTTTCACATGCCGGATTAAGTCGTACCGCACGGCTACGCTGCTGCAGCGGCTCTGGCAGGGCTACGTACAGCCTCCGCGGCCAGAGGAGGTCTAAGTCCCGCTCAGCTCTGGCTAAGAGGCCCTTCTCAAACCCGACTGCTGTTTCCGACCGAGCGGTGGGGAGCTGCGAAAAGCTCAGATTAGAAAAGCCGAAGCCGAAGCCCCAGGAGCGGGAAGGATCACGCACAAAAAAACTGCGGCATCCGGGTGGCCGTGAGATAAGGTGTGGGTGAGCGACACCCCCGCGGCAGCCAGGCAGGTCTGGGTTGCAGGCAGGAGGCGGCGGGAACTGGCTGTTTTCTTTCGGGGGGAGGAAAAACACGCGTTTTGGCAGAGGAGTCAGAAGGATGATGTAAAAGATCTGGAGGCCGCCCTACCAGATCTGCCCCTCGCTGCTCGCGGGGCCAGCGCCCAGCACACAAACTCCCCCATGACAGCAAACCCAAATTGAATTTCGTTTGGGTTTCTTTTTTTTTCCCCCCTTTTTCTCTCTCTCTCTTTTTTTTTTTTTTTTTAATTTCAAGCTGCCCAGACCAGAACACGCATGCAACCGCTTCCGTGCCTTGCAACCAGCTCTGCAGAAATAACATCCCCACCAGGAGCAGAGGAAAGGGTTAATCTCCCGAGAGCCTCATCATCCAGTTTACTTTGGGAGATGAGACATACCAAAGAAACTGCCTTTTAACGAGAGGCTCCGGTTGTGCCGCACCCAGGCATGCAGGGGACAGCCTTGGGGGAAAGTCATCACGCAATTCTCTTCAAATTCAGTCCATATAGCAGAGCAATTAGTCAGGCTGAATTAATTTATGGCGCTTGATTAGACTACTGCCCTGTACAGGCAAGTCAACAAACTGGAGGGTTCAGCGCCGCTGCCAGTTTGCCGGAGTGGTTGGGGCTCAGCCGGGGCTCGAGTGCCGCAGCCGGCGCGGGCACGGCCGCCCGATGGCGTGAAACCCGGCGGGACGTGCCGGGGGGAAGCAGAGCGCGCCGGACCCTCGCCGCAAGCCCCCGCGGGTACAGGCAAGCCAGAGCCCCCCACGGACGTTAACTACCTCTTGAATGTAACGAACTTCACTTTTCAGCTGGTTGACGTGCTCCTCGTGGTTCACGCTGCCCTCCGCCCGCGCCTTGAGATAAACCTGCCCAGGAGAGACGGTGGCAGCGGGTCAGCCATCCCGACTCCGGTCAGCCCAATAACGCCGGCGGCGAGCCCAGTTCCGTGGGGATGGGGACGTCGGTCAGATCTCGCCGCTTCCCAAGCCACCTTGTCCGCAGGTTTCCCCTTTCCCGTTAACCTGCCCTGGAGTTTTTTGAAGCTGCTCCTCCTCCTGCGTGACCCCCCACCCTGCAGACCCACCGCGGCTGCCCCAGGTTCACGCTGCAGCCCCCCAGCGCCGGGGAAGCCCACCGAGCTGGTGGTGAGCCGAGCCTCCTGCTCGCCCCATCAGGAGTTACACCAGGGAGCTTTTTGCTGGCCTCGCTTCAGGCAAAACCCTTTTCCCAGCCCCAATTATTAAACCAGATCGCTTCGCAGCAAAGCCGAGGAGCCGGGGACCGTACCTTGATGATCTCCTCATCGCCATCGTTGGATTTGATGCATTCGGAGGCCAGGGAGTGCCCGTTGCTGGATCTGTTGGCCACCATGGCGAAGGCTTTTCCCACCGGCTGCAAGAGACAGAAGCAGCAGAGCGTTCAGAGAGGCGAGACTGGCTGGAACGGTTCGCCCGGCTCCAGTCAAATGAGCATCGTGCACTTTCGCAGGGGAACGCGGCGCCGCGCACGGCCTCGGGAACCGGCACCCAAACGTTTAACAGACCAGGAGGTGAGTTTTCTAGTTCACGAAGCACAAAGCGGCTGATCCTCCACCAAACGCCCGTTCCCACCTCCCTGAATAAACTCAAAAACTTGTGTTTTCAACTCCGAACCCATCCACGGGGGAGACCCACCTTCTGCTTCGCCTGCTCGCGCCTGTCGCCCGGGAGGTCATTCGGCAGAGTCAGCCGCAGCACCTTCACGCTCTCCTAAAACGACAGGCAGATTTTAATTTTGTAACTCCCTGAAAGTCCTTTTACGTCCGGCTCCGGTACGAGCCGAGAGCCGGGTCAGCCGGGCAGGGGACGCCTGGGTACGCTGCCTTCCCCCGGGTTTGAGCCGCAGCCTGCGAAGCAACGCTGGGATTCAAATGAGTAATAGTGAGCACACGACGGCTACGAGCCCTGATGGATGTGATAAACGGCGGAGCCGTGGCCCAGCCGAGGCCGAGGTAATGCAGTCGGGCCGGAGAAGCCATCGCCGGGCTCGTTTGTGTGCGTGCCCTCCTCTGCCGGGAGTCACGGCCCCCACGGGCTACGGCACACGGCATTCCGTAGCAGCGCCGGGGAAGGTGAAAGTGGCCATTCCCAGCTCGCTCGCCGGGACCTTGCCAGAGTCATCCTTCTCCCTGCCCTACCGCGACGCCCCCACGGTGCTGCCCATCCTCTGCCGGCACAGCCCCGGCAGAGCCAAGCCCAATTTGGCAGGACCCAGCGAGACCGGCGGCAGGGCGCTCCCTGGCTGGTGGCCACCTGCATCCACGGAGGCTCCAGCCAGGACCCGGTTCACCTTCACCGCTTAACTCCTCACCCGACCACTGCCACCCACCGAAGAGGCGCTTTGGCCACGTCCAGCACCACGTAGAGCTCGGAGAGCTTTCAAGGAGGTGCCTGGAGCGTATAAAGAGCTCTAAACCAGCGCTCGGACACCCAAAACGCTCCACGGGGTTGCCCGCTCTCCGTCCGCAGCTCCACACCGGCGCTGCGCACCCACGGCACGGCAAAACCCGCCCTGCCCCAGACAGACCTCGCCGGCGCCCAGGCACGCGCCACTCCTGGTGC